ATCAGGAACAAAGGGCTAATGTTCCTTTAAAAGAAAAAAATTCATGCCCTACTTTAGTAAGATGCTTAAGATTCTTGTGAATGGAGGCTGTAAGGCATGTTAAACTGCTCTGTTTACTAATCCTGCTGATTCAGACTTTACTAGCCAACCTGACACAATTAACTGCTTTGTAGATGCAGTTGCAACATGTCAGATTGCTGTGAGGGCAATGCCTGAGGAGCCTGCATGCCCCATCAAAGGGTTAAGCTTTTCTCCAACATTTATTCTGAGGCATATGCCAGGTGGGGACCTGTATAGAGCTTTACTGATCAAATGTTCAAGCAAACTCCCTCATTTAATAAGAAGCAGCTAGTTACCTGTTGCTCTACTATTACCTGGAGTATCAGTAGTAAATATTTCTATCCTAGTAGCATCAGAAACCCTGAATGGGGTTATTATAGCAGGCGCCCCCAGTAGCTGTGTTGGTAGCTTGCTACTGTAGGATACTTGGAACTCTGGGCACCTATTTTTATTTGAGCTTACATAGCTTGTGAGGATGCTTGTTGGTATTTCTGTTTCATTAGGAGATAAATTAGAATGTTTTTAATAGGGTTTGACACGGATTGCAGACCACACTGAACCAGCAGTGCTGGAAGGGATGGACATAGACTGCTGTTGCTCCCAGGTCTGGTATATTGGGTAAGAARGCTGGGGAAGGATAATTCTTTGGTCTTTTGGTGCAGATTGTACACATATCTCCAGGCTGTGTTTTGAGCTGGCAGAGAGGAGTGCTGGAGAAGTGGCTAGAAATAGCTGGAGTGATGATCTCAGCAGTGACCTGCCTGGGCTAGAGCTGCATGACCTTTAATGTTAACTAAAAGATGCACTCTTTCTTGTCAGGAGCAACTGAAAAATGGAAAGGATAAGGAAGGTGGGCAAACTCGACTTGTTTGTTCCCTGCATTTTCCACAAGTGGAAGKTGTGAGGCTCCCAAGGGAAGCTGTGGGCTGATCCAAGGGAGGCAACTCCAGTAAGGGAAACAGCCATTTTGATAAATCATTCAGACCTTCCCAGTCCCTCACTCTAGCACAGACCTGAGCTGTTGTTTGCCATCTTGTGCCCCCTTGCTCAGACCTGCCCCTTCTACCCTTCCAGCACCATGCTGTGTGTTCTGTTGTCTCACTGCAGGAGACAGACACCAATGCGGGTGTGATTTGTGATGTGTCAATCAGCTTTGGCAGCTGCCAGCTGGCATGCAGAAGGAGASATGCTGTGGTGCTTGGCTGCAATGGGGGTGTTCCTCCAAGGTCAGAGAATTCCTAGCTGCAGTCCTCTGCTTCAGCCCTCTCCCATAAGGTGGGTTGTAAGATCCTGTCCTTTGAGCACTCACTTGGTGGACCAGAACAAACTGAGAGAATTTAGTGTGTTGTCTCTATTAATGGCTTCAAATGTTAGTTTTTTCCTCCCAGTTAAACTGTAAATTTGAGGTTATGTTAGACTGTACTTAAACTGTTGGCTAGCTGAAGCTCTGGGATGTATAGCTGGGCTTGGATTGTTCCTTTTAGGGAGACTGCACAGCAAGAACAGAATAGATACAGACTGACCATAGAATTACCCTGTCTGAAAAAACCCAATATGGAGCAGCTGACTTGACAAGTGCTGGTAAATTGCTTCCTCTTGCGTGGCACAAAACAGGTGGAGACRTTGTTATTTGAACAGAAAATTCCATGATGCCCATAAAGGGGAGGTTGCTGGTTTGTTTTATGAGAATAGAGAGCCATAGTGTCAAAAAACGGCCCTGTGAAATTTCCTTATGTGGTTTGAATTTTTATTCCATTTCCCTCTGAGATAACTTAATTTTACAATTGCTGTCTGGTGAAGGAGAGGTGAATGAATGACACCAGCTTAGACTCCATAAAATAAAAGGAGCTCTTTTCCCAGTGCTTCTCTAAGCCCTTTGTGAAAACAGATTCCCTTTCTGCTAGACAGCCACAAATAGTATTGTCCACAGTAGCCTTCTACCTGAAATTATTAAGATCCTTTTGAAAAAGATGGCAAAATTTCTCATCCTGCCCCCATGCTTATGAGAAGGGAGATTGAAGCAGGGATCATGTCAGTGTGTTTATTTGCCTGTGTGATCAGAAGGCATTGCCAGGATTAGCACAAAGGAACACTTTGCTAATTTTGCAGCTGTCCCCAGTAAAACTCTTCTCAGTCAGAATCAAATGAGTGTCTAAATCTGGCTGAAAGTCGTGCTCCAGAACCCAGGAACCTTGTCTTGCTCCAAGCAGAACCTGTAATTCAGCATTGAAGGCTTCAGGAGTCCGGACATAACAGCAAATTTTTAAGAAAATACTGGACAGTGCTGACTGATMATCCTTCTTCCTACTGGTCCCAAGAAAGACCAGTGAAAGGAAACACTCTGATGCTTGTGAGAGTCATCCTGTGGCAAATGATGCACTTCTGAAAGAGAGAGGATTAAAATAGGGGAGGAGAGAAGTTACCCTGCGGGAGATTGTCAACAGATGTTCCATTGTAGTTCAAAGAGAGCTAGCAAAAGGCTTCTGCTGCAGGGATATATTAATTCTGGGCAGTTCATCACAGGGAGACCTGKTTTATGACTGGGAGGATACCTCTGGTAACTTACTTAGCTCTTTATTTGAACTGTGGGTGGGGAATGTGCTCTACCTGTAAACAGAGAGGGARCTGAACAGTAGGAACAAACACATACTTATTTTCTTGCAGCTGTGACCACTGTCAGTCTGATCAAGATCAAGCTGGTTTTGTGGTTCAGGGGATTATTTGGCTGATGGGTCATTGAATAGAAAAAATATTGTAGAAGAACTGAGGCTAACCATTGTTAAACTGCTGGGGCATGTGAAGCAGACCTGTGTTGAGTWTGTCTTTCAAGTACACTTATTGGACAGGAAGTGGGAACAAGCACAAGGAAGACTGTGCAGGCAGTCAAGTAGATAAATAAATCAGTCTCTTTGTCTTTAAAAATGCACAAATTATCAACCTATCTATGCTTAATGGTGTAATAATTAATGATTTATTATAAAATCTTACCAATGTTGCAGAATTAACTATGGTGGGAGATCTTATTCACAAGCTTGGGCAAAATTAGGCCCACTTCTGGGACGTTTTAAGTCCTTTATTTTCTGAGATTGTTCTGAAGTTGTGCTTTGGCTGAAGGTTGATTTTTCTCAGACCTATGAAGAATCATGATCCCTGTAGCATTAAAGTGAGGAAGATTCTTCATTCAAAAGTGCTTGAGTGGGAAAGTTTGAAGCCCATTGTTATGTCACAAAGTTCTGGGGGATTAAAACAAACCACACCACAAACAATTCTGGGAAACAGCTGGGAGACTTTTATATTTGCAGTCATGGTCTCCCATCTTTGCTTATCACTTAGGTGTGAATCAGTAGGACTGAAAATCTGGCTGTTTTATGGACAGTAAGTGCACGATTTCTGTTTTCTTTGTGGGGCATGGAAGGGCRTATTGGAAATAAGATTCTGGTCTCACTTCTGCTACACAGTGAAGCAGAGGTAGGAAGTACATGGGAACATTCTGGGCAGAGGCTCAGGAGGTACACTTGGAAAAACAGCTCCACTTCCCCCATGACAAATCCGCATTTATACTGATTGGATGTAGTTATAAAAAATTAAGTATAAATAATGTGGAGGTGTGTAGCCTCCTGTTTGCTTCACAGCTGTCTGGGAAATGACAGTAGGCATTTCTRTTCTCCCCTGGGTATAAGAAGAACACTGGATACTGTAAGCTTTCCAGGTTCTGCATCATTTCATAGCCTTCATTACTGAAAATTTACTGCTCTGCCTCCCTGGCTTGCTTCTRCACTCCTGCCTTTGGATCAATGGAATGCCTTTTCCATTTTGCTTTGAGGGGTAGCAAGCACAGAGGACTATTATCCATGGGAAAGCCTTATGGGATGGTTGGTCTTACAAGCCCCACACACTGCCTTGTCCACTCCAGTGCTCCTCGTGSCAGTTTCTGTGTCTCTGAACACGGTCTGTAGCCTTGTTTACAGACCTGCAGGATGACATGATGGTTAAACACACAGAATCTAAAGCTGAAATACAGGCACTGAGCCATGAAGGACAACTGAGTGGGCAGAGAAATGGCACGAAGCACAGGTAGCCCCGCTGAGCTGTGGCATGTTTGTTCTGTTATTCAGTTATTCTGTTTTGTATGGTTGTRTGTTGGGACAAGACTGAAATCTCTGCAGGGTTTAGAGTTCACCCTCATGCCTTCATGCTAGGCTACAGAGTGTTTGCTCTCCCCTTGCTCTACATCTTCCAAGGATTTGCTTTAATAGATCTATTGTGGGAACTCTTTAGAAAACAGCATAARCCCAATTACCAAGTAGTTACCCTCACCACATTTTGCTTTATTGCAATAGAGAATCTTTAATACAAACAGTCTATGATAAGAGCTGACTCATTTTACCAAAGTATTCTAACAGCTAGGAGAGACTCTTACCAGGTCTGTAGCAGAAGCTGGGCTTCTGAAGAAGGGAAGAGTTCAAAACAGCTATAAAGCTAATAAAAAAGAAATATGTGCCTTTCAATTTGCTTTGTCTGCTCTATAGAAAGAAGCATCACAGATGCTACTTAGGTTTGGATTACGCCAGCTTTCAGGATATTTCTGTAAATAAGGTTTGGGGTTACAGTTGACAACACAAGAATATATTCAATCAGAGGCAAAGAAAAGGAGTCTGAAGGTGTAGATTAGATTATTTGGTCTAGTGTGGTTCTCTAAGACAGATTTCATCTGATTTAACTGTACAGAAATTAATCTCAGTCAACCCAGACCAGAAATGACCCTGACAAGGAACACAGGCAGGGGGTGGTGTCCTTCTGAACCGTCAGAGCTATGGTTCATAGCTGTCTGGCATTTTCTAGTATCAGCTCAGTGAGTCTTTGTGCCCCAAACTGCTGCTGTTTATCTATCACAGGATTCATTGTGATCTATAAAAGCTTCTCATTAGGTGTTTGCAATGAAAATATGAGGGCTGAGACACTTTTGGCATTTGTAACTTTATTGCAGAAAAAAAAAAATCCACTATCAACAATATTTTACAAAGAAAAGTTGCACTTTGGTGTTGGGCGAGTTTTCTTCCTCACCCTTTCCCCTGGACAGCGATGCATGGGAAACCAGAACAACCAGCCCCTGCCCTTTTGATTGTGTGCAGAGACACTTCCCAGATATGCCAGCCTGCACCAGTTCCAGCCAGGATGGAGTTCTATTTTCCACTGCCAACTTGCCAACTTYGTGCCGAAAACCAGTAGCACCCTGCCCTCCGGCAGGGGAAACAAGTCTGTAGCTAGGGAGATCTGCTCTGTGCAGACAATGCTTGATACAAAAGCTTTGGAGTTGTGACAATTGCTCTTTAGTTCTCATGCAATCATAGGAGAACCAACCCTTCTTCTCTATTTTACTGGGCATCTTTACAACACACGGATGGAAGGCCAAAGCCAACAGCTGAACCCCAACTGCACTGYAGCAGCCAGGGAGGAGGAACTGCTGCCTTGCCCAGTTCATCTGTTTGTTCCAGATGGTTYTGCTCCATCTTTGGGCTTTCCAGAGCTCAGCTGATGGGGAAATTCCCCTTTCCCTGCTACGACAACCAATAACAGCACTGGGGAAAAAAGGTACTTTTGCAAGTGAGGCCTGGTATCTGTCCTTTGTGGGGTTCAGTGATGTTGCTACTGAAAGGAGAGGAGAAACCTGTAAGAGCAATGTGGCAGATAATCTCTAGCCCTTGCTGTRTCCTGAGGGAGCAACTGGCTTAGTCAAAAATCAGCCACTCTGGAGAAGGCATGTGTTTCCATTTACCTGCAGTCAAATGTGAGTTAGAAAATAGGARCAGGTGTAATTACATGAAGACTGTCATGTCACACACTCTGGTCTTTCTGAGGCAAGGGCACCAAAAGATCCTCYGATTTCCACTCAGAGGCTCTGGTCTGTGGGTTTCCAAGAGAAACCTTCAGAGCCTTGGATGCAGTCTACAGCAGTGATATTTTGAGGCAAAAGTGCAGAATCTAATCAGCCTAACACCAAGAAAGGGAAGGGGAGGAAGGCACCTACATCCAGGATCTGTCCTCATGACAAACCACTAACTGGCTCAAAAGACCAACACTGGAAAGAAGAGGAGCTTTGACTTTGCATAGCACAGGAGGGAGAGTGAAGTACCAGTTTTGTACAACAACTTCCAGCAACCAGATTCTAGAAGCAAAATTGGAGGTACCTGAGGAAAGGCTTGAGTTAGTCCAGGCAGGGAAATGGACTAAAACATTTACTGAGCCTGGGAAAGGAGTTCACACATATGCTGAAAGCATCAAGTGTAGGAGACACGGTTTCCTAATTTTGGTGAGACCAAATTAGTGTGTCTAATTGGCAGTAGACTGAGTCCTATCAAGCTCTGTTAAGCTAATTTATGTTCATTTTCCTCCCAGCAACTTCAAAGCAATATCAAGTAGCAGGAGCACTTCTCCAGTGGCCACAAAACTGTTTTCCCTGGTTAAAGAGAAAAGGTATGCATGTGGGAAGGAAGCAGAGCAGTCTTTTATCCTCCTGGTAGGTGTTTCAGGATGGGTAATGCCAATCCTGGGACTAAAGCTGAAACAGGAACAAAAAAAGTGCAAGAAAAACCCCAAAACAAACAACCTTAAAAATACAGAACAAGAAGGAGCCCAAGAGAACTGATTTCCACATCCTTGGCTTCCTCAGAAAACAGCAGTCTCCTTTTCTAGCACTGTGCTGACACCATCAGTGTTAAGAGCCCTAGTCTGGATCACCTGCCCACCTCCTTGGAAAGCAGCAGCCACCAGGATGAACAGAAGAGATCCATGCAGAACACCATGGCAAAGGCTGTCTTGGCTAATTGGTTGCCACACTAAAAGGAGGAGACACCTCTTCAGGGCATTGTTTTGAGGAGAGTCTGGAGAAAAGGGCCAGACTTGGGCTCTGATTCGCAGCATAGAAACTTCAACACTGAACTATTTAAAACGTCTAAACCCCAAAAAAACATCTGACAAGGATCTTTCAGTTGTGTGCAAATCACAGCCCCTCATTCCTCAGCAGATCGTCTGGGACCAAGTTCTCAAGGCCTTTTCCTCTGGGCACTGGACAGCTTGGTTGCCTAGTAGCTGTAGAGGGAGAGAGGGGTGTCCTCCATCATGTCATCCTAGAAGCAGAGAAGAGGGTGCTTTAATGAGACGTCTGCATGATGGCATTATGGTCCCAGYCTGGAAGAGTGCTGTGCAGGAAGAGGCAGCACAGCCTTCTCAGCCACACTGTCACAGCATGGCCACCTGCCCAGCCATCCACCTAAATGCTGTCACTGTGCAGTTCCTGGATCTTTGGGCTGTCAGTCTCTCTCCTGCTGCAGCATTTGGAGAGAAGAGGTGTGTGCAGGAGCTGCCTCCCTGCTGCAAGGTTGTGGAAAACCCTGGCTGTTGAAAACTCCACTCAGCTTGAAACAGCATCAGCTTGCTTGCAACAGCATCAGCTTGTTTGCTAGCTGCAGTACTCCTCTGTTCCAGAAAGTGCAGGGAGTTAGTTGCAGCTTCCCCAGAGCTAGTCCAGCTTCTGAAACCCTCATATATTTTTATATTCCCAAAGGGGGAAACACAGACAGACAGACAGACARACAGACAACCTCCCTGGAACAGAGCATGGAATCTGCTTTGTCATAGTCACAAAGCAAATATATCAAAAAACAGGAGGAGAGGTTAGGAAGGTGTCATTTCAGGACAACTTTGGATGGAGCTCTCCTTTCTCTCTCTATTTAACCTCTCAGCATTCCCCTGCAGAGTGAGGGGAAGGCAGAGAGCTTCTTTAGTGCCCAGCCTTGAGACTTGCTGTCTTGATTCAAACCCTGGATGGAAGGAGAGGGACCTAAGAAGGAACAGGAGCGTGTGATGAGCATTGGTGCTGCTGCAAACACYCAAAGCATTGCTAATGCAGTAGAAGGGGAACCACAGAGCAGTCAGTGGCAAGCCAGCCCACATCAGGCCGGGCTGAAGGGGGGACTCACCATGGGCAGGTCCTGCAGGCGCCGGAACTCCATGCGGTTGTTGTGCTGGCGGTACCTCAAGAAGCCCAGCAGGCCCAGGATGCCCACCATGACAATGAAGACGGAGATCACAGTGATTACCAAGGGATCAGCCCTCGTTGTACCAGCCAAATTGGGTAGCTCTGCAAGGAGACCAAGGGAATGAGGTCAAAGGAGAGCCCTCAAGGGTTGGAGCAACAAAGCTTTGTCTTTTCTGGTTCTGCTCAGTGCAACCAAGAAACAATTTGACGTAGCCCCAGCCCTTTGCCACGTTTTGTGAGAACAGGGACAAAACAATTACAGAATCAACTGAGTTGGAAAAGACCTCTGAGATTATCAAGTCCAGTCCATGACCAAACACCACCAGGTCAACTAACACCACGACACAGAGTGCGACGCCCAGACTTTCCTTAAACACCTCCAGGGACAGTGACTGCACAACCATTAAAATGGCAGCCCATTAAAAGCAGAGCATTTACCTGAATTGTCATCATCACCAACATTCAACACAGAAGCCTTCTCGTGCCTGGGTTCCAGTGACTGTGCCAGTGTAGATGTGCTGGTGGGGATGGCAGCTGTGCTGGCAGATGTGGAGCTGGTCACRAGGGATGTCACTGTCACAGTACTGGAGGCAGTAGCAAATGAGGTGCTCCGTACAGTGGAGATGGGAGCAGAGGAAGTTCTGGGCTCCACAGTGCTCTCCTCTGTGGCACCCACAGGGCTCGTTCCTGGCTTGGTTTCTGACCTTGCTGCTGTGGGCCCCAGGGTGTGCCCACCAAAAAGCCCCGGCTGAGWGCTGTTAGTCGTTGCTGCAAAATAGGAACAGGCAGTTATTTCAAAGGATCAAGTGCAAGCACACTGTTCTGTGGGACTRGACAAGATGGAAGCAAGACTGCAAGGAAGACTTCTGGGACTACTGGAATAGCAGCTTATTGTCAATGCTTTGGGAAACAAGCAGAACCTTTAGCACAGCCACAGCTGAGTCACACTATAAGCTACAGTGCTTAGAAACTCCTCTCAGTTTTCATATGTGCCAATCKGCAATGTCAGCCAACCTCACTTGGGCCCAGGAGGCCTGTCCTTGGGGACAAAGGACAAGCAGACAAGCTCAAGCAACTCTACACACAGCTGGGGATCAACCCAGAGCAAGACAATGGGAAAGGCCTCTCATCCCTCCTTACAGGGAGCACAAAAGGGGCTTCCCAGGGACTGGGTAGCAGCACACCCTGAGGCTGTGTCAGTGTTTGAYAGAACAGCAGGACCGTGTGACACAGGCTAAGGCAAACAATGCAGTTGTGCATGAACGCCATGCAAATTAGTGGTTCATCAATATCTGCCTTGCATTAGGAGTGAATGACAGCCTGGCAATCCCCAAGGTGGGTAAAACTGGGATTGCAAACCCTATAGCCAGTCCCCAMACCACCCAGAGGGATGTGAAGGTAGGGTAGGTTTTCCCATGGCTGCCCAGGAATGGATGAGCTGACACCCATCTCCATGATTTGTGTTAGGGGAGGGTTGATTCCCTGTTCTTTAGGCACCCAGGAAGGCTCCCATGGAGCCCCAGCCCTGGTGCCAGAAGGGTCCAGCTGGGCAGCACTGCTAAGGCATGTTTTTCCAGATGGGATATATAAAGGATGKCCCTGCACACAATCAATGTCCTCATCAGAAAGCTGCCAGCATAATTAATACCAAAATTAATGGGGTTTGCAAAGAGGATGCTGAACTAACATGTCTGCAAACAAGTCACACTGMACTGGCTCTGCTTAGTGTCTCATTCCCTTCTTCTCCTTCTCCCCAGTTACCAGGAGAGTGCTCAGACATTTCCAAGTTGTGCATCCTTGAGGCAGAACTTTGTGCAAAGGCAATAAAGGCAAAACCTCACCTGGCACAGTGTTCAGATGAGGTGTGGGGGTGGCACTGCTGGCATCATCCGTTTCTTCAGTTGTGCTGAAAGGCTCTGTGGCTTCATGGCTGAGCTGGTTTCCTTCCAGAGTGCTGGCAGTCGAGGTAGGGGAGGAGATTTTAGTGCTGCTATTGACTGGCAAGCTCACGTTGTCGTGCTCAGGATGTGTAACTGTGGTGTCCCCAGGACTGGCAGTGGTAGAAGGCTGCRGTTTCTCTGCTTTGGAGCCTGCCATGGGGGTGGTAGGGATGAAGGCATCCTCCACCTCTTTAGCATGGGCCTCAGTGACATTGGGTGTTGCAGCAGTCAAGTTTTTCTCCATGCTTGTCTGAGGACTGGCAGTAGTCAATGGGCTGAAGTCTGAGTCTTCCCTTGGCTGATGGGAGGTTAGCACTGTGCTGTGAAAAGGTGATGGTGTCACCAAGGCCTCTGCTGTCTTCTGACCCCCTCCTATGGAACACAGAAATCTGTCAGAGATCCCACTGAGAGGAGAAACAGAGGGGAAGGATTGGAACTGAACTTCTTTAACTCCAAATTCAACACAGGTTCACACTTGGGAAGGGGATTCAAACAGCTTCTCTATCCTCCTGGCCTTTCTGAGGCAAGGACCTGTTCTAGGGGACTTTTTCTTTATCCTCCTCCCCCTCAAGTCCTCGTGTTCTGTAGGGTCAGCATCACCAATCCCTCTATACTGGATCAACTTTTAAACATTAGAGGGTTTTGGTTTGTTAAAAGTACAACCTGAGACCTGATTCCRTAAGAAATTCAGGTAAGTCTTCTTTGGATCATTCAGAAGGAGTCAAAAGTGGTGYTGAAAAAACACCAATTAAGAAAATGTGGATGTAGACCCTCCAGCTCCCCTGGCCCAATGAAGTGKAGAAAAGTGATATTTAAAAAGACTGTGGCTTTCAAAAGTGAAGCATATATTGTGAATCAGCAGTAGTTTGGGATTCTGCTAGAGGGAAAGGTAAAATGGGTAGCAGGAGAGTACTACAGCTAACAGGGCTGCTGGTGCGCTTTGGGAGCTGCCTTCATGAGCTATTTATGAACACACCACCACCATGAAGTGCAACTGTTGTCCTAGAAATGGGGCGCTACTCAGCATCCTATTACAGCAAAAAGGACCAGCGTCCCTGAGGGGAACCTGCAGCAAGCAAGGATCCCCCAGATCCACAGCTGCCAGAGTGTGACAGCATTCGGAGGAGGGAAACCACAAGGTTTTTACACTGCCCTTTCATAAACAGATCCTGTGAGGGTTTTTCAGGATGTAAACAGGAAGAAAACAGAGAAATGTAGCCACATCAGGATGGACTCTCCAATTTAAAAACATCTCATAGTCAATATTTTGACAATTTCTGTTAAAGTTTCTACCCAAGCCACAGAGGACTGATGAGCCAATTGCAGAAAAAAACAAAGGTACTGAAGCAAATGTCATCATGCACCTTCTCTCCACAGTGAAGAAGCATCAAAATGGATGCTGTCACCAAGAAATATTCATCCACCAGCAAAGCAGCTCATTCTTTGAGCTGTTTTGGGGAAATTTCAGCAGTTTTTTAAAGCTCTTCAGAACAGATAGAGTTATCAGAGCTCCTCTCCAGCTACAGCACTCAACAGGCCCTAAAAAAAGACACAATACATCCCTCTCTCAAGACCTTTGCAGTACCCTGAGCAGCTGGAGAATTCAAAACTCTGGAGCAGCCTGACAGAGCTCTGCTTCCCCAGCTCAGAGCCCCAGTCCCAGAAGGGCTCCTGCAGGGATGCACAACCCTGCTCGGCACATTTGGAGAACAAACCCTCACAGGGAACCCCAGCTGGGGCAACTTAAACATGAAGACCAAAGACCTAAGTGATGGTCCCTTTGGCCTCACCTGGATCCAGCTGTGCATGGCCAGGATGTGCCTCCACATAAAGCAAACCGCTCTGCAATAGAGCTCAGGCAGGAGATATGCTTACACCCATATCACCTGGAAGGAAAAGAGCTGAGCACTGCATTTCCTGGGATCGGGCACCAAAAGGCACAGCTCTTCATGTGACAGTTTCCAGCCTTAAAGCCAGCACTGCTGTTCAGCACGGGGTGGGATCCCASCAGCTCCGGATGCTGGCGGATGCTTGCTCAGTAAACACCCAACTACCTGCTCCCATGCAGCCAGAGAGGCACAGAGCTGTGCTGTCATCGTGGGGTAAACAGGAAAGRTGGTGGCCAGTGGTGAGCCTGGCTATGTGGTCTGAATAGCTGGCCTGTGCCCGGGACAGCCTCTGGCGGGGTGGCAAGTCATGACTTGAGTCATGCAGAGGAAGGATTTGTGGAAAGCTGTCTTGCACAAAGGCCTGAGCAGCTCTGAAACCATCATGCCAGTTTCTGACTAGAAAAGAGATGGGAAAGATGGGTGCCAATGTCTTTACAAGCAACTCGATGGGTGAGGATCTTTAGGAGAAATGGGTCTTAATGTCTCTGCTTACCTCATGCCCTACAAGTTGTTATAGAACCCAGACAGTGTGACTGCAGTTTGAACTTGTGAACTTTAAGATAAGAGAAAAATAGGTGTCCACWAAGTCTATTGCAGAGCCCAGTCTAAACTTCTGGTGGATCCACAGAACCCAAATAGCTTGAACTTCTGAACTTTGGGGGAAAATGTGGGGTTCAAGGGGCAGGACTCCTCTGTATACTTAGTGGACACAGCACCTCGTGGCAGGAGTGCTAGTTCCTGGCTCTGTGGGCAGATGCCCTGAGGTATACAGCCCAGACTTATCTGCCTTCCCTCTGCCTTTCCTTTTGTGCAGACAAGCAGCTCCCCCACCCTACTGCAAGCTCAGCTTCCTGCTGTCTGCAGGAGGGAGAGCTAGTGGGACTTGTATTTCCCTGAGCTCTTCTCTCCAAGAAGCCACTTGGCTTCTTCCCACAAAATTATCTGGTGTCCATCACTGCCAAGGAAATGGTCCCTGGGTGGATGGGCTGCTCTGGCTCTGGTGTAACACAGCACCATGGTGTTTAGAACCTGACTTGTAGAGAATTGCAGAAGAGATTTTAAATTGGCAGAGGAGGAACAAGGGACTGGCTCTGAGCATGGCAAGTGTTGATGGCACCTCAATTAGCAAGTCATGCAGCACATCAGAGCACACCCAACTCAGGAAACAAAGGAGAGCCTAAAAAGGAGAGCCTAATCCACACTAACACAAAGATTCAAGACATCAAATGATGATGGTGGGAAGATAAAGAAGACAAGAGCCTTAAGATGACCAAGGAAACAAAGGACTGAGTAAATCCTGATCACCCGGGGACAGGCAGACAAAAGATACCCATCACTCGTCTGTCAGCTCCTGGGGGTAAGGGCACATCCAAAGCCAGCGGTCACCAAGCAAAGCACCTGGGGAAATCCCCCAGAGGTGCAAACTTGGTGCTTGTGAGCTGTAGGTGTTATGAGTACAAGCACAATTGAGTTTAACTTCAGTTTTAAATAAAAACACTCTTCCAAAGGGCCTTGCATTAAGATTTGCAGTCACTGGGCGCTGATGGTTTTAGCTGTTTATTGGTTACCTATAGAAACGCAGGTCAGGGCTCATTCCTCTGTCTTCCTGGAGAAGCTCTGCTTCCTGCACCACATGCCAGGAAAGCTATGGCTGTACTGCCTAAGGCATCGCCCTAGACTAGAGGGAACTACATCCTTCTTGTTTCAGACGCAAAGGGAAAGTTAGTGTGGCTGTTTCACCTTTTCTGTGATTCTGCAAGATCTCACGATTGCAGCACCCCAGGACAGCTGGAAAAGGTGCACTCGCTCTTGGATCCATAATAAAGCAGCTGTGACTGTACCAGGATCTGAAAGCAGAACCTCTGACCATAAGAATATCTCTGTTTCCRACAGGGACCCAGGGCTGGGCTTGCTTTGGTTACACTGAGGTGCCTGCTGAAGCAGGGCTGGTCCCCTGGCTACAGCCCTGCTCCTGCCCCGTGTCTGTGCGTGGTGAGAACCAGAGATCCCAGACCACATCAGGGCAGGGCTGGTGGATTTGGAGTGGCAGCTCTCATCAGACTGCGCTGACTGCAGTGACCTCTGTCTGGGAAACAAGAGGGGCAAAGGAAGAGAGAGGTCCCAGGGGAGGAGKGATGCAGCCAACCAAGAAGCAGCCCCTGCCTTGGACAAGGGTGGGAAACACTCCCAGCTATTTGAGGGAAGGGAGGGCTCTGAACATCAGCCCACAGCTTCCACCCCTCTGACAACACTGAGAGACCTCCACACACCAACCCAAGCTCCCACCAGCTCCAGGACAGACATATAAAAATATGCTGTAACAGAGAGGAGTGAAGGAAGCCAGCTCTGCAGGAGACGGGGCCATTCCTGCCTTGCACTCCCTGCCCAAGATTGAGGGCTGGGGCCAAGAGAGGGGTTGAGGAAGGTTTGCACAACCAGCACCCAGTGTCACTGCTGTGCCAGGGTAGTCACGCAGAGCAGAATGTGTCCTCCATCCTCTGCCACAGCAGCCACCCCACCCCATCTATTTGTTTCTCAGAATAAAACAATGACACAGAGCAGGGCCTCAGCTGGACAAGCCCATGAAGGAGCTTCTGCCACAACYCTCCTGCCACTCTCAGCAGCATCCTCTGCACCCTCCTTCCTGTCTGACAGAAASAGCAGCCAGAACCGCCCAAAGGTCAGCACCAACCCAGCTCCAGTCCACAGACCTGAATGTTGTTTTTAAAATCCCTTTTAGGATGAGATGCAGGAGAGCCACGTAAGGTGAGGAARTCCATGGCAGGTTGGCTGCTGGGGCTTGAGTGAGAGCAGAGCAGCAGGGTGGAGGCTGCAGCCCCCACTGGAAAAGTGCACAGAGACTCAAGTGAGAGCTAAGCACAAAGGTGAGAAAGGATTCACCCAGGATTTCAGAGAAAGTGCCCGTGGGAGCAGGACTCCCTGGTGTGGATGCAGCCTCCTGCACAGGCTGTCACTGTCTGAGGATAGCACCTCACTTAAATCAGCTTCCTACAGAATGCATGTGAAACCGCTGCTCTGATTCATTTAAAAGGCACCCAAACCCTTCTACCATGCTATTTTGGTGCACTACATGAATTCAATTTCCATTTAAGTGTAACAGCTCTATTTGCAAACAACCTAGTAAAATGGAAAAATATAATGTTTAAAAAGTATCAGCATAAACGGTAACCTGTATGTATTAAAACTGTCATATCCTATTGCTTAGCAAACTACTTCATTAAATGTAGAAATTATCTTTTGTTGCCAGTTATTACATTTTATGGTTACCAACCAACGGTAATTAGACAATCTCTTAAAGGAAAAACAGCTTGAGTATAAATGCAAATAAAACCATATAGGGGGATTTAAAACCAAGGTTCTTCATTTCATTTAAAAGCAGAACTGGAATAGCTACTGATTAGATRCTAGCTGAGCCTGATCTCTTTTCCTGGAATTAAAAAGAAATCCAAGCAGCAGAATGGATTTCTGGAGCCCATCAGGGAGGTGCCAGATGCAGCCACGGATGCTGTAGAGCAAACACCCTCAGTGTGATGAAGCAAGGGTCAGAGACAGGATCTGGTACAAGGGGCAACTCCTTTGTGAACTCAGCTCCAGTTGGATACCTTGCAGGACCTTGATGGAGGCTGGATATCAGAGGGCTGCATTTGCCACAGGCTCCAGYGCTCTCCCTGCCAGGGCTGATGCTTGGACTGTCCCCATCCCCATCCTGGCTGAGAGAGGCTGAACAGACTCCATCTGCTGCAAGTCCAGGCGGGAGGCACAGGCACGGATCTGACCTTGCAGCCTGCTCAGGGACCACAGTGAAGCTCTTCATGGCACCACGTTAATGCACCCCTCACAGCCTCTGTGAGCTGCTGCACAGGCAGCACACCTGGGGGTGCTGAGCACCCAGTCCAGCCCTGGAAAGCTGTCAGGCCAGGCTGCAAAGCAAGGGCTGAGGTAAGGGACAGGAATAGAAACCAGGTCTCCTGACTGAGAAGGCAGGTGGCCACGAGCAGAGCACGAGACGGGGGCAGATTAGATATGGGGTGCTGAGTGAGTGAGTGCTGGGGAGGGACAGCCCAGCACCCAGCCTGCCCAGGCAGGCARAAGATGCCTCCTCAGGGCATCTGTGGATACCCGGCCACAGGCTTGAAAGCCAGGTGAACAAAAAGGGAAGGCAGTGCTAGTACCTTGACAGATGGCACTGCGCTGGGGACAGGGACAACCAGCCAATGGTGGCATGGCAGAGCAGGGCAGAGCAAGAGTTGCGGGAACACGGATGAGCAGCCTTGGAAATAGCACCATAAATGCCAAGCACAGATACTTCAGTACTAGGAAACCCCATAAAACAGCATAGACATGCCCAGAGCATGCAGAGTGCTGGAGCCTGAGCTGGGGAGTGGGGCAGCACCAGCCCGATTGCTGCCTGCAGGACACAGCACCCCAGGGTGTCACGCTCTGCCTGCCCCTGCCACCTGAGATCCTCCTCACCCAGCCAGGGGAGAGAGATGCAACAAACTTCTTTCCCACAGGTTTGCATGAAGCTCTACCACTGATCCCCCATTTAGAGGTGAGGGGGCTTATCCCAAATTCTTGTGGCAGGAAAAAGGGAGAGCAGGCTGCCATGCTCAGCTACCACAGTCACTTATTTTCCACCAGCCACATGCAGCTATGGAACACCTTGCTTGAAGTGCCTGGGAGACTCCCAAGCTCTTTGATTTTGTWCCTCAGTAGGGACTGAGCTGTGGTGAAGACCCTTTGCCCAGAAGCTGCTGGCCAGGGATGCCTGCCCTTCTCTGGGGTTGTGTAACCCCAGTAATATACCAACAGCACGGAGCTCTGGCATCAGACAGCCCTGGCCCTGCTTACCTCAGGAGTCACAGCTGCAGTGGAGGAAGCATTCACGTCATTACAAGAAATTAATTAGCCAGTTGCCTTAATAACAGCCCCATGTCAGCAGGGAGCCTACCCTCCAGTGCAGTGTGGTGTGAGCTGGGGGTAATTTGGACATCAGGAAGCCTGCCCAGCCCCGAGCAGCCCCCAGGTGCTTCCAGCCGTGTAACTGCCGGTTCCACAGGCTGTGAGGCTTGGAGGATACATCCTGCACTGACCTGGCCCCAGGCAGCCCTACAGGGCTCAAGATGTAACCCCAGACCTCAGTGGTGCTGAGCCTTATGAGAGCTGCACCATAGAGCATTGTGGATTTGCCCACCCAGAGTGTCTTGGTGGAAAGGAAGGGGGGACAGGRGGGCTCTGTGCTTTGGATCATCCCTGCTCCTCTTTGACAAGAGGGATGGGCCAAGGGAGCTGAAGGAGGTGAGTGCTTTGCCCCTGCCCAGCAGGTCAGGCCTTGGAAAGACAGCAGGGAGCCAAGACCACCCTGGGGCTGAGGGAAGAGCACGAARCAGAAATGGCATCAAAGACTGATGGCATGAAAGGCTGGGCTGGGGCTGCAGGGTCGCACAGCTGGGGGTACCACCCTGAGAGGACCAAGGTGCGGCTCAATTCTAAGTGCAGGAGAGTTGGAGCTGTCCTGTCAGGGTGGGGTCGAATCCATCCACTCCTCCTCACCCTGGGCAAACAAAAGGAAATAAACCACAGCAAATCGGCAGCGGGACCCTGAAGCGGACACACTGCCTGCCTGTGTGCATGGCCCCTGGAGCCGACAGACCGGGCTTTATGTGCTTGTGCTGCTCCCAGCCCTGCGCTGCTCTCACTGCTTGCGAGACAGCAAGGCACAGGAGGGAGAGGCAGAAAAATGCCCGGACCAAAATTACTCGGGGTTTTATTTGTAAGGCTAATGGTGCTGGAGGAAGTGGATTTCCGCAGGCAGTGAAGAAAGGCTGCATTGAGAGGCYGGGGTGGGCAGAGCACAGGAGACGCAGCAGCCTGAGCTCCTCTGTGGCCCTGCTGCAAACCCAGATGGGGAATGGCAGTAGGCACCATCGGGCAGCGGGAGAGAAGGGAATCTATGCTGGGAATGGTGCAGAGAGTTCATGGAGCTAGGTAAAGCCCGGTTTTGTCTAGGGATTGCTGACTTCAGGGCCAATCTCTGGGCGAACCATTCCTGCTGAGATTTTCTGGTGTCTCATTATGGGTTGTGCTTGCTATGGGGCATTTTTTTTTCTTGGTGGCATCTCTTCCATGCCATCTGTTTTCACAAAACACTTGCTCTTTCAGCCACACTTGGGATTAGCTAGCAAATTCAAAAGGTATGAGGACAAGGGCAGGATTAGCGGCATAGGTACCATTTCCTGAAACTGTGAAGAATCTTGTATTGGGACACTAAGATCCCAGAAAAAACTCAGTGCAACATTAATTTCTGATACATTCTGGCAGTTTGAGTCTTGGACTTTGCAGCAAGAGGGTTCCAATGAGCCAGCTGGGGCAAGGGGCTCCCTGGGGTTTCCCAGTGTGCTAGAGTGTGAGACACGGGGCCAACATAGCCAGAGGCAGCTCAGAGCTCCTCCTCCTCCACCTCCTCCTCCCCCCAGCCGTGGAAATCCTGAGTCCTTCCTTTGCCGGTGGCTGGTCACCTCCCCACACCCCATCACAGCACAGCCACTCTGGTGTGGGGAGCGCAGCTTTGCCCACATAAAGGGTGCTGGTTTGGGACTGCTCCCAGTGCTTAGCCTCAAACCCAGCTAAACCGCATCCGGTACCCAAAACCTCATCCTGAGCGCTACTCTCATTGCTGAGGCTCAGCCCCACAGGCATCTATTCTAGGGTTTTACCAGCCCTAATTAGTTATTAGAAACTGAGTTTCTATGTGTCAGCTCTTGGTCTCTGTTGCTGCCGTCACGGTGCTGCGATCTGACCATGGAYTGGCCAAGGGTTTTTCTCAACCACAAAGAAGAAGACACACGTTTTGCTTCCTGAGAGCCGGGCAAGTCCCTAAATGCCACAGAGCCTTTGTCACTGCCAGGGTCACGGGGAAGGTGACAGCCCCCCGACTCGGGGCACATTCCTGCCACASCGCAGAGCTCGGTGGTGCCGGCGGACGGGGCTGTCAGCGCCACGCTGCAGACTGCGCCTGCCCACGTGGGGACGTGTTGATCGTGGAGCGGAGCCGAAACACAGCCCGGGAGAATCTGCCTGGGGCCGGGGTCTGGCTCCTGCTCCGTCCCGAAAAGCTCCATCCGTCCTGCTTCTCTCCCGCAGGCACAGGGCCCTCGTACCGTCATGCTGCGGGAGGCGGCAGAGTTCGGGCTTTGTCCGGGGTTCCCTCGGGGGRAAGCTCAGCAGCGGCTCGTAGGGACCCGAGAGCTGCAGGGAGGGAGGCAGGAGGCTCGCAGGACTGGGTGCCGAAGGGCGGSCGCCTCCAGGATCGTTGCTCCCGTTCCCGCGCATCCCCTCGGGATCCCGCCGGGCGCCGGGCGGGAGGGGAGCCCGGGCAGCTCCGCCGGCGGGAGCAGCGCTGCCGGCAGCTGCCTTGTATGGGCAAGGCCGGGACTGGCGGCCGCGCTGCTGCCCGGAGCGCSGAGCTCACCCGGGACCCCCCCGAGCATCCTTGGGCCACCTCACCTGCGCGTCCGCCGGGGCGACGGCGCCCGGGGCCGGGGGCATCTTGCCCGAGTTAGGGGGCCAGGCCCGGGGCGCTGCTCCCCGGAGGKTTCCGTCCCCCGGAGAGGCTCTCCAGACCCTTCACCCGCAGCCCCATCAGCGGGCGGAGGAGCCCGGGCCCCGGCGCTGCCCCGACGGCTGTCCCGGCGCTGCGCTCCCCGGCGCTGCGAGASCGGCGGGATCCCCCGAGCAGCCCCCCCGCCCCGGCACCCCTCGGCGGCCGCCCCGGTACCTGGCAGGGCGCAGAGCAGGCAGCAGGCGGCGGCGAGGTGGAGCAGGGCGCGCCGCGTCCCCTCCATGCTGGGCCGATCCGCGCTCGCTCCGCCGGCGGCACCGGGGCGGCGCCGGGGCGGGCCGGCGGCCGGGGCGGGGCGGGCGACACGTGGTCCAGCCCCGGCCCCGGTGGAGCGGGGTGGGGGTAGCTGCTGGCCCCCGCACTGCCAGACCGGTACCGGCATCTCCGTGTTGGACAGAGCACTCTCGGTCCGGTCCCGATTCGGCCCCCGGCACCCTGGATTCGGTTCGCACCGCCCTCAGCATCACCGGCTGGTCCCCGGCACKCTGGGTTCGGGCAGGACACCCTTGGTCCAGTCCGACACCGGCCTGGGAATCCTCAAAGCGGTCACTCCTGGTTCGGGGAGGACACCCCCGATCCCATCCTTTTCTGTTCTGGGAATCACTACCCCAGGTTTGCACCACCTCATTATCTCATGGACTGCTTCAAGTGACYCCAGTCCAGGATCTCACCATCTCCTAATCTGCCCTTGGCATCCTCAGTTGAGCCTGACATTTCTGTCCCATGCAAGGCTGGGGACAGTAGATGAACCCAACGTGGGCTATCAACCTGGGGCCTCCAGGCAGTTTCAGGGTACCTGGGTCAGTGGGCACAGCTGGGCGCAGAGCTGCTCCAAGCACCCCAGATAACTGCCCTGACCAGGGTTCAGCCGGGTGCCCAATGTGCCACAGCTGATTCCTCAGGGCATCCTGCACCCCTGGGGCATCCCCTGGCTTCCCTTCCCTTCCAGCCTCCTGGGGGATAGGGGCTGGCCAGCCCCATCAGACACTGTGAGGGCTGAGACATCCTTCAGGAAATCTGTCTGCTCTTTGGTCCAGAATTTCTAAAGAAGAAACCCCATTATGAAGCTGTTAGTGGCCAGACAGTCCGTGCCCACACCGCTCTCTGAAAGGACCAAAACCTCCTTGGAAATCCCTTGTTATGATGCTTCTTCCCTGACTCCAGTCTCAGGCATGCAGCCAGGGTGAGCTGTCCTGTCTGGCTTCGTCTGCTCTCACGGAAACAACGGGAAAGCCTGGGAGTTCTCTGATCTGGGAAACTGCCCTTCGACCCTAAGATGCAAAGACAATGGGGTCAAAGAGGCACCYAAGGGCCCCATGTCATGGCATGGTCCATGCCAATGCTCTCTCAAGCTGCTTTGGTGGGAGGGGGCTGTGGGTSCCCTTCTCCATCAGATACCTCTGTCTGCAGCACCATGGGACAGGAGGAAAATATGAATGGATATTTTTGTTCCCCAAATGGTTTTGCTTCCCTTTTCCAGTATGGGGCTTCTTGGTAGTTCCTGTCCTCAGTTCTGAGGTGGAAGAGAGTTGATCTGATACAGAACTGATCATGCCTTTCACAGGCTTTATACAAAAGAGTAAAATTAAATCTTAGCTCCTCATGGGAAATGTGCCTCTAGCTGCTTGTTACTTACTGCCAAGAAAATTAGCTGCACCATTTTCRGGCAGAGGTAATTGTGCTTGTACAAATGCTCTAAGGGGAATTATTTTAAACATATTTACAACTACTTGGTAAGTTATAGGAGTCTTCTGCTACCCACAGAGGCTTTGCTCCAGACAGGTTTGGGCTCTCGGTGCTGCAGTGTGCATCACCCKGCCCAGGAGCCTGCCACATCTCACCAGGGCATCTCCCCAGGCACCCACCCCTGGGGTAGCATGAGCTCTAGGGGACATCGGCGCTGCTGGCCGTGCCCTCGGTTCATGAGTGCATCCAACGCCYGTGTGCTTGACTCATTTCTCTGCTCAGGCCTCTCCCTGGAGACGCCAAAACCATATCCATCTCAGCTGGCTTGGAGAGGGTGGCTCGCAGTCGTCAAGGTTACCGGTCCCTCTGCTTTAATTAAGCACACAGACACTGCACGGGGTATTTTCAACAGCCGGGGGACGAGGAGGAAGGGGGGCTGGCGTTCCCCGGAGGGGATGGTGAGCAGCGCGATAAATCTGGGCAGATGAGACCCCCTGCAGGTCACTGCTATTACTTAGCTGATCTCCGCGCTCATTAGGATTATTATTAACGCACTAATGTGGTACCTTTGGCTCCCCATAGCAAAGAATGAGCAATTGGGAGCAGGAGAAGTGACTGCATCTGTGTGACAATGTCTTTAAGGTGATGCTGCCGATGTCGCGCCTTGGAGAAAGGAGAAGAAACAAGGGGAACTTTAACATCTCTCTGCTACACAGCCACTCTCTCRTGGAGTAAGCAAAACCACTCCCCTTAGACAGCAGGCAGCAGCCCCACGTCTTTTGTAGGCTTTTGACTTTTTGTTCTTGAGTAGGATTGAAAAAACCCTTGCAAACCCTAGCAGCATCCAGATCAGACAGGTCTGGATAGCATCGAGTTGAAGACTTAGAACAACTTTTGAAAGAAARTTTTGTGCTCAAAAGCCACAGCATCAACTTTGCCACCTCCCTCTTGCAGTAGTTCTATTCAGTTCCTGTCTTTTTTTTTTCTGGCTGGCAGCCAAGTCATGGAGCAGACCAGAGAGGATAATGTTGATTATRTTAATTCAATAGGAAGAAGCAGGTAATAGAAAGTAAGTGAGTAGAAAATAGTGGCAGCRGAAGAGCTGAAGGGAAGTAAGGGTATAGGTAGGAGGGAGGGACGTTTTGGTCCTGGGAAAGACAAGTAAACTCAGTTTTTGGGCTGTGTCCCTCAACCCTGGGTATGACATGTGCTGAGTGTCCCCTGAGTGAGCAGAGCAGAGCAGAGGTGCAGCTTTGGCCTCACTGCCACCATCATCTGCAGCCCTGCAGAGTCTGAAGAGCCATCACCTGTTTCACCAGCCCAGAGGAGAGCGATTGCAGCAGCACAGAGCAGAGTGTCCTGAGCAGAGGGACGGCTGTGGGTATGTGGGTGGTTCACACGGGCTCTGTGCTCATGTAAATCATCCCATTTCTTGTGTTTTTTGGCCTCTCTCCCCTCTGCCCTTTGCCAGGGACACTGGGAGCATGGCTGGTGCACATCTCAGCCTGGCCTTGCAGAGAGCCCAGCAGATCCCAGCCTTGACCCCTGTCCCCTTGCAAACCTGCTTCTTCATGAGGATTGGGCATGGTTAAGGTTGGTTGTAGGCCCCAGCATCATCCCCAAACAGCTGCTCTCATCCTCCAGAAGCACTTCAGTGCAAAATGAGGAGAGGGGCTGCTCTCAAATGGAGAAAACTTGGCACTTGTAGGGATTTTCAGTTCTCAAAGAAGCTGGAAGTCAACTGACTGGAGCAGAAGAGCTAATCATTGAGTGAGTCATTCCCCCTCCCAAAGGTGAAACATAAAACCATTTTTTTATGGAAGGCAAATTAAATCCCACAAGTCAGAGCCAAGAAAAGAGAATTTATCAAAGAGCAGAAGATGCCACTGGGGGACTTGGAGGCAGACAGAGGGAGCATTTGCTCAGCAGCCTGGGATATTGCATCTCCTGTGTCTCTCCTCCAATGTGAAGAGTGCTGCCATTCATCTATTTTTAATAACAATGACGCAGGCAGTGAACCTGACTTCAAGGCTGGAATATCATCTTCTTCCCTCTGCATATCTGTCCTGACTCATCTTCCGTTCCAAGAGCTCTCCACAGCTTTGTAACCCAGTGAAGTAGAACAAAACTGGAAAAAAAAGGGGCAGGGGGGGAGGAAGGAAAGGAAAAAAAGGAAAGAAAAACAAATGGGTCAGACAGCYAAGCATCAGAGTTAGAAAATTATTCTGGGCAAGAAAAAATAAACACTGGGACCGGACTCAGGGAGCCAGGGAAAATTAAGGGTCTGGGAGATTTAAATGTATCTGGGGGCAGGCTGATTTGAGATCTCTCAGACAGCCAAGCAGAGATCCAGTAGTATCTTGGTGCTTGCAGGACTTGAAGCTCTACAAAAAGGACTGGAGAAAGCAGGGGCAGAGTTTAAGGTGCCCAAGCCTGGGGTGGCTGGAGGAGAGGCTGAAGAGCCCTGCAGTGGCAGAGGTCTCTGATTTCAGTGCCACAAAAGTGACAAGTCTCTGCACTGTTGTAGCTGCAGAGATAAGAATTGATTGCAAATGTGAGGAGCATAACCAGAGGAGGGGAGGCTCCTGTGTAGCCCAAGGATGCAAAAAGCTGTGCTTTCATCCCAGAGATGAGTTGGCTTAGCTGGGGAGTGACGACAGTGCACCAGGCAATGCAGAAACCCTTTTGTGCCCTGAGGTGAGGTAGGAGAGGTGGGACTGATGGCCATGTGGGCTGGTGGCCTTGATCTGAATTGGACTGTGTGGCCTCTTTGGGCATCCACCATGGCTCAAAATAGTGCAATTCTGTATTTCTGCAGTTTGGTGGCTGTGAATACAAAATACAGCTTTGTCARATGTTGAAGGTTTCCCCCTACAAAATTAGTATTCAGACATCTAAAAATTCAGGGGCTGCTACATCCCAGTCCTGCCCTAAGTGCTGGGGGTCTCACCCTTGGCTCCTCAGCTCYCAAGGGCTGGAGCATGGTCTGATGGGCTCTGCCTGGGGCTGAAGCCTCTCAGGCACAGTGACACAGGGTCAGTCCTGGCTCACTGTCCCATGTTTGCACWGTCTCCTGGCTGGGAGCACCTCAGAGCAGGCTGGAGCACACTGGCCAGCTGAGTGCCACTCCATGCCCATGGTACTGCCAGGAGCTCGCTCGTAGCCATGCCACAGCACTGTTGGAGGGTGGACAGATCAACTGAATTGGAGCCAAGGCAGCAGATGGCCATGATGAGCAGGCAGGGGGCACAAGGCTGTGGCACCAGTCCCAGTACAGGAGCTGTCAATTTGGGCATGTCCATCTGCYCTAGAACAATCCCTTTCCAGTTCCCAAGGCAGGGTGTCTGGTGTGATTCCAGCTTCCTRCTTGGGCTCTGCCCAGCCTCTTGGTAGAAGAACGTGGAAGATGCTCTGACATTCCCATGGCTGCCAGGTCTCGTGCGGAGATGTGTGGTGAGTTTGGGCTGACGTGGCAACACGGCTTTGAGCACAAGGACATGCCAGCCACCAGTCTGCACTGGTGGTGAGACAAAATTGTTAACACAATTCATCCACAGGCAAGGCACAGCCTTGTCCAGAGGACAGCTTGCAGG